TTCCTGTTCCAATTTGACACGAAAATCGGACGTCTTATGTTACGAAACAGGATGGGAAATATAATACAATGTTATGTTAGTTTGATTACTCTCGTGTCCTTTTTTTATCAAATGAAATTAAAATTGTTCGTGATGTTCAGCAGCGGAAAAGTTTTCATGAAAGCCAATATCACATATATCGACCTCTTAAGGTCGTAATTTTTTTTATCATTATTGCATTTTCAGGTTATATACGAAATGAAATACTTAATACTAGTTGATAAGTGAACTTGGCATTTGGGTAGAGAGTTAACGTGCCTAAATTGTAAACTGAGATATTATAGCTCGCGTCCCTTTGCTACAAAACGCGCTCCGCGTCATGGGTCCGTGTGAGTTATATAATAGTGACACTTAAATCCTACAATTTGGTCAGACAAGAGTAGCCCAAGAGTTAGCGCTGGAAACTTTTGATTAGCTGCCTTCCATCTAGTTTATAAGCTCAAAATTAGGGACGGCTGAGCGCATATAACCTTTGTGTAGTTTTGCGCTAAAATTCTGAAACAAACAGACAAGTTTATTTGTTTGGTTGATTTTGAATTTCGCGCAAAGCTATTCGAGGGGTATCTGCGTTAGCCGTCCCTAATTTAGCAGTGATAGACTAGAGGGGAGGCAGCTAGTTAACACCACCCACCGCCATTTCTTGGGCTACTGTTTTACAAACGAATAGTGGGACCGACCGTTACATTATAACATTCCAACGGCTGAATGGGCCCTAACCACCAAGTTGATAAATGTGTTATCAGGTTGTCCTTCGGGGGGGGGGGAGGAGGGCAACGATAAGTATAAGTACTTACAACGCTAAAATTCGGAACAAACAATTATCAAGTTTTTCAATTTCTTTATCAAGAACACTTTTTTATATATATTTTTCAAGCGTCCAACAAATTGCTCTGAACAAAAATGTGTACTAGAAACTATTATCATACTGAGTCTAACAATAGAGGGGCAGATTGACCCAAAACAAAACCAGTAATACAAAACATGTAACATCAACTTCGTGAAAGTAAAGCGATAAGAATCACCGAGTTGAAAATATTTTAAATGAGTACCATTTTATATTTTATAAAACAAACCTAATTTCATGATATTATAAAATACAATTGTGTATTTTAAGGATTCTAAAATTGAAATTTCGCTTTTTTTTCTCTCGCTCGTATTGTTTGTTTCAGATTGAAGATATGTTTCAAAATAAGTGTTACATTAATATAAATGACTCGAGATAGCTTAAGCAAACAGTTCAACATACAGAACATACTGTACTGTACATACTGTTTTTAAGTATAGAAAACGGCTTTGGCAACAATTTAATGAAAATAAAGGTTCCGTAGACTAAGTTACTATTATTAGGCTTAATAAATAAGTAAAACAGACCAATAAATATTAAATGAAAGTTTAGATGATGCAAAATATCGTCGAAAAGAAAACCGTAATAAAATTTCCTCAATAATTTGACTCTTAAGCGCCCGATTAAAATATAAATGAAAGCTCAAAATACTGATCAGCATTTCCTTTTTGTTTAAACGCAAAACTACACAATCGATTATCTGCGTCGTGGCCATCTCAGTGATCAAACCTCAAAATTTATCGTTATAAACTCTCATGCCATCGGAGGAACAGGTGATATGGAAGTTTGTGATCTTTACGTATATGGTGTGGAACTATAATAAAAGTTTTTCTTTACAAGAAGGAATTGTATAAACAATGAACTGAGGCCATTCTTTGTTTCAGAAAAAATTTCATTTTAATTTATCATTATAATGTGAGAGTTTAATCATCAATTTTCATGTAAAATAATTACAGATGACTTTAGCTAGAAATGTATTGAAACTTAATTTGTTGTAATATTTTACGGCTGAATTGAATACGAACCGATTTAAGGATATGACTAAAAAATATGTTTTATTTAAACTAGTATCACTAGTCCAGAATATTTCAGTATTGTTTATGTTGTGAAAAGCTAAAAACAAAACAACAAAAAACAGCTCTAAAGAAATTCGTTGACAATGATACAGCACAGTTTATAATTAGGTGGATGATTTACAAAATAAATAGATAACTAACTCCATTACAACGTATATAATACTCTGCTTACCGGAAACTAATAAGTACATTTTCGTTCATCGGTAAAAATACCATTAGACTATTGTACACAGTTTGTAAATCGCATTTACACGAATTCCACTCTTAGGTCGTAATATAATGTATATTAAGTGACGTGGCAATATACTTCTTAAAGCATCATGATAAACTCAATACAATTAAGCTTCCCATTAGATACATTAATGGAAAAAAATAAACATATCAAGTCATAATGATTAACTAAATAATAATAAATCTGTTCTTTTAGAAGTATTGAATACTAAAACAGTTAACTTCTTAATTCATCATAATATAATGAATAAAAATAAATAATCAAAATACATTTTTTACTTCGTAATGAGCTAGATAAGAATAATTTTTTTCAGTTAGATACAGCAAATAATAAATCAATATAATATTTTAATTCACCACAATAAACTGAATGATAATAATATTTTTTCAGTTAGAGGTTGGAAGTAATAAAATAATGAACTTACTCATCCAACGGACCTAATAATACAACAGCAACTACTGACTGATTAGCGTTAACTGGCTTAAAAGCGACAATGAACTTACTCATTCAACGGATCTAATAATACAACAGCAACTACTAACTGATTAACGTTAACTGGCTTAAAAGCGATATTTATGGTAAATATTTAATCACATATTAGGGCTTCAGAACATCGCTTTTCTCACTCAACAAATATGTCTGCTTGCTTAATGTCAGTTCAAAAGGTTATCGTTATGTTAATTCGTGATGAGTACTGGATAATAAGATAACTCTCATTTTCAACGATAATTACATTTCAAATAGTGAAATTTTTAATTAAAAGTTAACACGATACGTATTACGTCATATCAATCAGCGGGATTTAATATACCGTTAACAACCATATGAAGTGATTAATCATGAAAACCTTTTCACTAACTGCTTAAAGGCTTAAATACTGTAAAGATAACATTGATATTCAGGATTGTTTATGGCTTGACGTTAATGTGTTGTTTTAACAGATCATCTAGTTTGCTTATTAGCAGAAAGTGTGTTTGTACAGTCATTTGTAAACAAATGACCAATTCGAAATTTAATAAGGAAGTCAAAGATCGTAGTAGTACCAAACAAAAATTAGGTTGAAGATCCAGAAACAAAATAGATAGAGGTTGGTATGAACTAGGTATCGCTTCAAGGTTTCAGAACAAAGTTATTGAACAATACAAAGTGAGTACAATCGTCTACTGCTAATTTTGCATGTTTTTTGTTTGGCCGTTAGATAAATATTGCCAAATAAAGTTTCCACGGAAAATTTTCAAATTGAAACTTCTGATGGATAATCGGACTTGGAACTCTTTCCGTTTCCGTCGATCGTGAAACGAGCTTCTCCGAAGAACGTTGAAGTCGGTCTTGTTTGTTTGTTTGTTTTTGAATTTTGCGCAAAGCTACAAGAGGGCTATCTGCGCTAACCGTCCCTAATTTAGCAGTGTAAGACTAGAGGGAAGGCAGCTAGTCATCACCACCCACCGCCAACTCTTAGGCTACTCTTTTCAACGAATAGTGGGATTGATCGTCACATTATATCGCTCCCACGGCTGAAAGGGCGAGCATGTTTGGTGTGACGGGGATTTGAACCCGCGACCCGCAGGTTGCGAGTCGAGCATCCTAACCACCTGGCCTAACCGTATATAACCTACGCCGAACTGTGTATATGCCTAGCTCCATCGCAATGGTTTTTGGGGTCAGAGATTATTTTTCGTAATTTTTACTTTTCTTTCACGAATGATGACATTGTTCTTGATTGGCGAGAGTGTGTAATTTCAAAGCCAGTTTTTCGGCTTCCTTCGAAAACACTGAAGACCCCCATCTTCAAAATATTTTATCATTTAGCTTTATATCGTTCATCAATCTCGCTGCATAAATATTTTTCTTTGGAATGGCTTCTCTATTTCATAACTCTGTCCGTGGTGGCCTTTTAATGTTAAATGATCAGAATATCACCTTGAGCCAAATATACATACGTTATTGGAAATAATTGTGGAAACACACATAGGTGACACAACTACAGCAGTCACAAACAACAAGATCAATAGTTTATAGAAAAGATCAGTATTATATGGAAGGTAAATCACCAGTGTATGCTACATAAATTAAAATTGTATAAAGAATAGCAATACACGTATACGAATTAACAATACGTTCTGTAGTGGTCGGCAGAATATAATGCAGTAATCATTATGTTATGGAATAGGGGTCAATAGCATATAGCGTGGAAGTCAGGGTTGTGATGTGAATAGCTATTAATTTATAGAATTCAGAAATTACGTCATACGTTGGAGAGGTAAGAAATATATGGTGTAAAAGCCGTCTGACGTATAATGTTTATTGATATTATTTTATCGAATATAGAACAGCATTACACGGTGTGTATCGCTTAAGTAGTTTCAACGGATGTTCTTTTTATGAGAACAATAAAGCGAATACAAAGTTAAACTTTGTTTCACCGAATAGAGTAGTTTATATTTTACCTATATCATATAAAATTAATTTGACTTTCAGAGAGATTTCTTCAGTTCGTTTAGAGTTTGTTGAATAATGTGCAAATATGAAACGAAAAAATAATCCGTGTTTTCTACTTTACAGACAAACAATTGAAACTATTCAATGGATAAACCTAGATATTTATAATACTTAACAAAAATATTCACGAACAAAATAAAGGAATATTCACATATTTTAATTAGTGGCAGCTGTGTGGAACATAGAAGCTATTTCCAAGTACCATTTTGGATAGAATAGTGCAAATGGTTAAGCAAATGCACATATATTTTTCTAAAGCTTTCTTGAGAAGATAGTGGAATCGGTACTTCTTATTTCTTCACAGCATAACCTCGGCTATAGTACCATTTCCACGATTTGTGTTCTTATTGAGATGATGAATAAACTCCTGGCCGTCGCCTTTTGTCGATCTCTTCCAAGACAAATATTGTAACCGATAAAGCAAGCGACGGGGTTTGGTTCGTGAGTTCATCCTCTTTGGCCTTTGAGCCAGCTGAAGGTTTTTCCTGCAGCATAATATTGATTGGAAATAGCCTTTGAAACTAAAAATAAATGAAATAGAAAAGGCTTATTTGTATTCTAGATTTTTAGGAGTTTCTCGAACGTCTATTCCATAAATGAAATTACAAGTTACTAATGAATTCATTTACTTTGGAGAGGTCAGTAGCATACTGAACTTTAAAAATATATTTTGATTTATTTTATATACCATTTATATTAATATACATAACTCTTATTAATGAAGTGTGATTAGAGGTTATTTGTATTTCTTGAAAAATGAGTCAGGCTTAACATTTTATCACGTTTAATTAATTTAACATTTTCATTCTTCACGCATAAAACTTCACTGTTTCATTTTAAGTTTGCTTGACCCATAAGATACAGAAATTATGAATTATTTAGAAATATTTAGAATTTATTATTTATTTATTATTTATTTATTTATTATTATTTATTTATTTATTTAGAATTTATTATTTAGAATTATTTAGAAATTATGAAATTATTAATTATTTAATTATTAATTATTTATGAATTATTTAATTATTATATTATGAATTATTATTATTTATAAAGTATCACACAATTTAACATATAACATTTATTTTAATTTAATAAATGCTATGATAACATGTGAAATGCCTGCTTGTTTATAAAGTACCATAAGTTTGAGGAACTACTTCTACGGGTGTTATTTCAAATAATTCATAACATTGTGTGAGGCAAATCTTGACGGCTAGTCTAGATCTTGTAAGGTAAAACACCTCAAACCTGGTTACGTCATTACTTTTTATTCACCAGACTATTTTCAAATTCTATTGAAGCCACTCATTAGATAACGGATTAAAAACATCCCAAGAGTTCTTAAAACTGAGTGGGTCTTCAACAGGTTTTACTTATTTAAGGCCAACTTCTATTGTGGAAGGGTTTATTAAATATGGAATTACTATGCTCACCTGTAATAAAATATTAGATCTTTTTCAGTTTACTTACCGTTTGTTGGCCCAGTAATAGATTATTGGATTGTACACCGAGTTTGACATTGCTAGCCAATAGAAAGCCAGAAACATAGGTTGGATGTAGTCGGTGTAAGCAGTTTCTGGATAGTGATAGGTGTAGAGGAAAAACACATGATAGGGTAACCAGCATATGGCAAAGATGAGTACAATCACAATAAGCATGCGCACTACCTGAAAATTTCAAATAACATATTAATTAATTTATTGGAAGTTAATACAATTTAATTGAACAAATTAGTGGTATAATTTTACAAACATCATCAGCGATAAATTCATCCTCCTTCATTATTAGTCTTATGACATACCGAAGAAAAGTTCTCTATAAGGATATTCATAGATTTTAACATGCACAAAAATAATGTACTTAGATTGTCATATATGTTGGAAACCATTACGAAGTTCAAGAATTTTTTTTTTTAGTTTTAAAATATCTCAGAGTTAAACAGAAATACACTTTGTTAACAGGGGCAAATGGGCCAATCACTAAATGTCTCTCCAGTTGAATCAAATAAGTTTGTTTGGAAACCTAGCTCTACATCGATTAAGGGAAAATAATTCTTATAAAATATTCAATAACTCATGGGAGTTAGTGAGTTAAAAACATCGCGTCGAATGAATAAAAGAGAATGCTTCAGAACAGAAAAAGGTTGTCGATCACCGAATCGATAATGAGCTTAAATTCTGGAACTGTCTGTTTTCCTGAAATTTTTATATATTTACTTTTCGATTTATTGATAATTTAAGTAAGATAAATAACCTACATATCATCTGAATACTTTTAATTTTTCGACTTATCTAATATAACACCTTTGGAGCGGTCAAATATATCAATCGAAAACGTTTGACCTCCTGCGTCCAAAACTGTCAATAGATCTCAAATCGGTCAAGAGATGACGAAGCTATGAGCTAAAAGTTTGTACTTGATAAACTCGGAACCATTCTATGAGCCGCTATTCCGCGGCTAAAAAAATAAGTCTAAATACAAAATAGTAAAAAAAAAGTTCAAACGTAAAGTACGAAGATGATGAACTTTACTTTTGAACGTCCTGATAGGACGGACTAAATGCACAATCATAATGCAGGCACAAAGTATTAAGTTGGCATAAGAAGACTATATACGAAATAGTAAATTAATAAAATAAGCCAGATCAAAATATGTCTAGATTTATTACACTAGTTTGGTAAATGTTTTGGGAATATAAATTTGCACAGTTTAATCTTAGTGTAACTTCCTACCTTCTTCTTAGATTTGATGACCTCTTTGTGACGTTCGGTGATTTCTCCAATAGCTTTTCCACCCCACAAAACATGCCCCATGAAAGTATAGGCTACACCCATTGATACCATTGGGACAGCATACGTTAATGAGAGAAATACAATATTGTACCTGCAAATAAATATTTAATGTATTTGATTATCCGAAGAAGTTAACATTAACATAATGAAATGTTTAAGATGGCTCATCAGTAATCCAGGAATGTTGGGATAAGTAGTTTTTCCTAACCATTACCTCAGACCAAAAGAATTCCTTCATTAAAAGAGGTATGATTTACCAACATTACAAGTCGACTTATGAGGATTATTTATTGCTATATTATCTTCTTTTATTCCTATTGATTCTGAAGACTTGCGGGCCCAACGTATTCCAAAATAATTTTCTCCCAGAGTCACTGTCGATTTAGAATATTAACATTCCAATAGTTGCAAACTGTAATTCACAATTGAATTTTAATTTTTCTTCTCAAATTTGAGAGTCAAAACTCAGTTTCAGGTAATTTCGAAAGAAATGACGTAAAGGGTTCTACCTTGAAGAAAATTATAGAATATAATTATAAAATATATTATAGAATATAGAATATTATTATAGGAACATATTTAGAAAAATCTTTCTTCAAACCTAAGCAAACACTTGAACACTAAGAAGTTAATAAAAAATTCTCCAATGAATAACTTCATATGAACATCGAATCTTTACTCGTTCTTAATCATGATCCTATTAAAGTTTCTTTTTGTACTGCAAGTCTCAGATTAACATCTCTGGTTAAGCAGTGCAAAGAATAATGCTGACAAAACGGTAGCAAACTATATGGGATAAATGAGAATAGAAAAATATTATCCCATGCACTCTGAATTGCAAAGTTAGATAGGAAAAACCTAATAACTTCTATCCTGGTGTAGGTAAGAAGAAACATTTATGTATAAAAATCTAAACATACGAGTGAGGAAAGATCAAACTTATGTAAATGAGGTAATCTATTCTTTAATACGAAACTAGCGATTACAGAGTGAAAACCTCAGAAGGTTTAGTACCAAACTAAATGCTTGGGGAACGCTATAAATTTAATTAACGTTCACAAAATTAGTTCCGCTGTTACTGCGAGATATTTCTCTAGAATTTGATGGCGATATATATATCTTTGTCAAGTTTTTCATACACGCATTATTGATCTACAATTTTACAATACGATAAGATATCTTCATGTAGGTTAATTTATCAAATGTTACAATCTAATCCCTGGAAATGACTTTTATGCGAAAAGTTTCAATCTACATAATTCTTCAACAGCCTCTGAAAAGACGTTTTACAGTATCTATATAATAATACTCTTATTCGTGTATCTGTTACGGAAATGACGTGTGTGTACGCATGTGTATTTAGATAGTAAGGTGTGCGCGCATTATCATGACAGACAAAAACTGAATATTATTATAATAAACCAGTAGAGGCTCGCAAGACATTTGCGCTCACATTAATATCTTTATTGCAATAGTACTTCTTTAAATACAGGAGTTCTAAAATAACACAAAAATAATTCTAATCGCAAGCACCGAAATCTTGTCATACAATAATTCTGCTATCGGTACTCCTTATAAGCATGCACAGTAAGAATGTTACCCAGAAAAACAGTGCAAGCGTCTGCCTGCGCCAGAGAGCTGGAAAGCTCAACAAACAAGTCACTACAACTGCTCTATGAATGGAGAAATAACAAACCATTAACCACTTAGTATAATAACATTGAAAGCTTGAGGTTTTCAAAAAGATTTGACGTTAGGTCTTAGAATAACATTATATGTTTATTTATCGATAATATTAAGTGCAATATAGTTTAGTTCTAACTAAGCTAATGTAAAAACTGTACATGGTATAATTTATTTCTTTATCGAACTTAGACCTAACATTAGTTTAGTTTTTAAAAAGTACTACTTAAATACAAGTGGACTTGCACATTTCGATGCCTACGATTACATTTAGTTTATATTATTCTATCAATCTTGTATTTAAAGAAATACTTTAGTAATAAAGGTACTAATTTGACAGCAAAAGATATGTGGGTCTCTGCTAGTTGTACATATTGAAAATAACAAAGAAAAAGTCAGCGAACATGTACCAATCACATAGATAAAGAAATTATTTCTTTCTTATTAGCCGAAGTAATTATATTATTCTCACATGTTATTGTTCTTTAAACTTTCAAGAAAGCAGTATTAAGACAATAACGTGATTTTTGCTTGTTTATTTATTGTTAAGCACAAGGCTGCAGAATGGGCTACCTCTACTCTGCCCACCGCGGGTATCAAAACCAGATTTTAGCGTTATAAGCTCTCAGACTTACTACTGAGTCACTGGGGTGTAACCAGATGGAAGATATATTGATTACTAAAGAATGAATGCTACACACCATACATTTGAAAGAAAGTTGTTGAACTTACTGTAATAAACCACACAGAAACATAATTTTTAATGGCTCTAACTTGTTTACTCTACTATGGAGTTTCAAAAGAAAATAGAATTATTATTGTTTCGATCCCTTCACAGAAAGTAATATTCGTCCTGACAATAGTTAAGAGATTATTTCTGATTATAATTTTGTTGGATATAATAAAACCTGTGCGAGAAAGAACACGGGAATTTTTTTTTAAAGTCTCACTCTCTGAATCACTTCTCCAGACATTTAAATGTAATTCATATTATTGAAGCTCACATCCTTAACACATACACTAACATACTGTATATATGCTAATTTTGACTTTGTGTGAAGAAACTATTTTGATTTTAAAATTTCTCAGAATATCAGGTGCACCAGACAGGAAGACTAAAACATTAATTATGCACCATTAAGTCAGAACTTGAATAACTTACAAAGCTCATATTCAGGTTAGTTTCCCTGTGTTTGACAGAGCACAGATATCCCGTTGTGTAGCTTTGTGCTATATAGTCTCTAAAAGTAGAAAATGTACAATTAAGAACATGATATTCAAAATGATGCCGAAAGAAGACTACATAAAGTTCTTGTATAAATCATTCTGTTTAAAATGTAAATTTTATAGAGATTACTAGTGTCTGAAAATGATTACTTTCAATACATATTTGTATTTATAATATATGATTAGGCGATACATATATGTCACTGTAAAACAGTAATGTCATTGTAATTTTAATTTCAGGGTTGTAACAGTTTAAAGTAATTGAAACGTTGCAAAGAGACTGAACCTTAAGAAAGTCTCAAAGCTCTAGACTCTAGAGACTGATCGTTGTTTCAGTTATAAAAGCCCCCCAGTAGCACAGCGGTATGTCTGCTGACTTACAACGCTAGAAACCGGGTTTCGATACCCGTGGTGGGCAGAGCACAGATAGCCCATTGTGTAGCTTTGTGCTTAACTTCAAACGATCAAACGAACAGTTATAAAGTGAACGATAGTCGTTGGTTTAATTCCACATGAAATCTTATAAATGAGTAAGCAACTGCAATAAGAGCCATAAAAGCCATTAGTCAATTTTTTCTCCTCATGTTACCTACTATTTTAAAATCATTTAGGGAATAATGTATAAAAGATGTGATAAAACCCATACTGAGCAATGTAAGAAAAACGACTGAAGACTTGATGAAGCAGTTTCACAGTAACTTAGCTCAGATTTCATTTTGTAGAATTAGAACCTCTTTAAACCGAGGTCTGGTTTAATTACATTTTTGAACAAAAGGTTTATGTTAAACCTTGTAACATATCCCAGGCAGAACCTGCATGCGAATTATCCTTTTTGTTTTGAGGCTCAATTATGAAACGGGTTGCCATAGTTACCATTATTTGGGAGCTACATAAGGTAAAGAAAATTAGTACTGAGTATAGGTATTCAGTTACGATATTCATGTCATATGAATTCATTACCTTATCACAAAATTAGCTCACGTAGGTTTTAGCTTTAATGTTTGAAAATATAAAGTAAAAGATTCCTTGTAGTGACATCAGAATCCTCTTCGGGAGTCGTGAAAGCAATTATACATAAGTAGATAAACCCATGGTAAAAACTAAATAATTAGTTGGCAAGGCTAAGGAGACAATACGTAGAATATGCTGTGAAATAAAAATATCGCTACATTGTCAAACGGCGGATCTTCTCCTTACATACAAAATTTTCTTTGTAGAGTTGAATAAACTACTCAAAAATAACTGTTTTCAACTTTACCCTACTGCCTTCATACTATTTATTTTGCATCGACAAGCTCTATATTCTGTTAGACGGTTCTTATTTTGTAATGTTCAATGCTTAACAACAAACTGTTTTTGGTTCTCTGTTAATTCTTGTTCAGTGTTTTAATAAGCGAATATTGTTATTTATTGTACTCTGTTAAGTATTTCGTTCAATGTTCTAACAGCATAACTTTGTTAGTTGTATATTGTTGTGGTTTTTTTTGAAAGCTCTAACAGTAGAATGTTTTGTTTGTTGACATGTTTATTTTCTTTTTTAATATAACAAACTAATACTGCTAATTAGTATTTTCTCTAAATAAAGCTCTCCACAGTAGTATACCCCAAACTCAGTTCCTTACACTACCGAAACTACATGCAAAAAAAAAAAATCTTCCATTAAAACTTTCATATAAACCTACTGTATCTCTACTTGTAATTACAATAAATATGTACAACGCTCACATTTTACAAATTAATTAACACACTAAAGATATTTTCACAAAAAGACTCATGGTTGCATATATATTCAACCATGGCCTTCAAAGATTTTCTGGTTTGCTCCGATCTTCACGATAACAATGTTCACTCAGCCACACCACCTGGATGTTTTCCTTGTATAAATGATCACACTGTCTAATTTGCAATCATGTGGATAATCTTACTTTTGGTTCTTGGGCCTAATGGTTGTTTTCAGACTAGAAAGCCTTTCACCCACCTATCCGAGTCTGTCATCTATTGCATAATTTGTTATCTTTGGTGAGACAGGTCGCAAAGATAGTGAAATATTTCGTGAACACGGAAGACACGTTATTAACGATAATGTGCATAAGCCAGTCTCCCGATATTTTTGCGATGACAAACACGATCTTTCACATCTCAAACCAGTCTGTTCCTGTTGAACGTTTCTCGCGTTTACAC